AGTACCATATTTTGAAAGTAGCACTAGTTGAAAGCTTATATATTCCACAATGTGTGCACACTTGATATATGTAATAGTCATTCAAATATTTTCTGAATTATACGTGATGAACCTGCAATTACATCTAATTGCAAATATCTAAAGAGATGAAAAACACAGTTGCATTTTTAAAAATAACAACATTCTTTGATTAAGAAGACATGTGCCCCCTATAAATTATTATTCCTCTTTTAACTAACAGTGGTTGGCTCTCTCCTGACCTCTGGCTTCATGTGCTTTCTGCTCTGTACTGACCATTTGATCTGTGTAAATCTCCCAGTGAACTGTGAAGGTTCAGAAGGCACAATCTTGCATCTCTATATTTCCAATCCTGGTACCACTTTTTAAAAAATCACAGACTCTCCAAAGGCAGCAGAAGCAGTAAGAACATACTCTTTGTATCCTCTCAAATCCTCACGCGCAGAACGACTACATAGCAGAACCAAAGCCCATGGACACTTGTGCAAAACCAAGTGACACATGCTGACAAGGATGTGGAGCAAACTGGAACTCTCATGCCTCGTTGGTGAGAATGTAAAACGATAAAAGCTGATCCCCGGAGAAGTTTCATAGTTTTTAAAAAGTCAAGTCCACACCTGCAGCACGACCACCTCTTCCTCTTCTAGGTACTTACCCAGGAAAAATAAAAGCAGAAAGACTGGGACACATATATTCACAGAAGCTTCATATGCTTCATTTTTATTTAGTCAGAAAACGGAAATAATCCAAATGCTGATCAACAGGTGATGAATATGCAAACTGTAGTATGTTCACACAATAGAAAGTGTGAACTACTGATCTGCACAACATGGATTAATGCCAAAAAAATCATGCTGAGTAAAAGTACCACCCCAGTAGTACATGCCACATGATTCCATTTAGATAAATCCTAGAAAATATAAACTAATCTTTAATGACAGAAAGCAGACCAGTGGGCGCCTGAGGATGGGGGGCATGGAGGGACGGATTTCAAAGGGGTGTGAAGATACTGTTGGTGGTGATGGACATGTTCCAGAGATAACATCACAGGCATATGCATAGGTCACTTTACATATGTACAATTTAATGTCTGTCAACTACACCTCAGTAAAGCTATTTTAAAAAGCAAAGTGGTGGCCTGACGCAGTGGCTCACACCTATAATCCCAGCGTTTTGGGAGGCTGAGGTGAGAGGACTGCCTGAGCCCGCAGGTTCGAGATCAGCCTGGCCAATTGGCGAAACCTCATCTCTGCAATAAATTTTTTAAAAATTAGCCAGCTGTGGTGGTATGCACCAATAGTCCCAGCTAGTTGGAAGGCTGAGGCAGAAGGACCACCTAAGCCCAGTAGGTCGAGGTTGCGGTGGCCATGAGTGTGCCACTGAATTCCAGCCTGGGCAACAGAGTGAGATGCCAACTCAAAAAAAAAAAAAAAAAGCAAGGTGGTGCAATAACAACTTTATTTA